ATTTTCTTGCAGAAACCTCTGAATGGGATACAAAAGGCATATCACTTCACAAAGGTGATGATTCACCTCCCATTCAAGCATTCCAAGAACACTTTTCCATTGTATTTCTTGATACAACAGGCTACTACAATCTCTGCTACCAAATGTGCAAAGGAACTTACTTAGCGTTAAAGAGAGAGTGTGTTCTCGCTGTTGAGATGCTTGATAATACTTCCATAAATGCTTTTATACCACTATTCATGGTGCCCGTGAAACCGTTGCTGCAGTTTGACCATATTTTGAAGTAAGTGCTTTTAATGTAACTTCTATAGTCTAATGTATGACTAAAGTGAGTAATTTGGACAAACAATATTGGCGTGTCAAGTGTTGTGATCAGGGTTGTTGCGAATATCAGCATCCGCATCTGCAGATAATCTGCATAAATTAAAATATCAGCATCCGCATTCATCAATGCTGATATTCATTGCAGATGTTCAAGCCATGACTTGACCTAAAAGGAATGCTGGAATAATTTACAAACCTTCCAGAAACATACTGTAAGCCGAAAAAACAGCTCAGCTTTTGATTTTAAAATACAACCGATAAAATTGCGGAACGATTAATCTAATCAGATTAATTGTTTTAACGCAGATTGATTCTTTTCTAAATAAATGTCACAAATCATTGAAATAGTATGTTATTACAATACCAATGAAAGTAACTAGAAGGTGTTTTCATGTAGATAGATTCAGTAGGGATGCACATTTTTCGCGTTTTTTTAATACATAAAATTAACATCTGTATCAGCATCCGCTGAAGTGTGAAACACCTGCATCAGCATCAACCCTGGTTATGACTTTGTTGCAATTGCCATGCTGTCAATTGCAATTACAAATCATGTGCTGTGCTGAATTTCAGCTTAATTTCCTGAAGTATAGTTTTACACTTCTATTGCAATTAAATAGATGACTGAACATCTTCATAGATAGTAAAGATACTGACTGAACATCTCCATGGATAGTAAAGATACTGACTACATCTTCATGGATTGTGTTACTTTTGGGTATTTTGTATTTTGAAAGTGACCAAGTGAACCCAACAAATAAATTTACTATTAAGTAATTTCAATAGTTTCTAAAAATGCTGTCTGTACTTAAAATGTAGTATTACATATATTGTATAAAAACTATCACTAAGTGTGTACTATTGTACAATTATAAAACAGGAGAAAGTATATTAACATGAATAATGTGATCATTTCAGGTTAAAAAATCTTTCAAAAGTGAAAGAAGCCGTTTTAAAAAGAGCTTCCAAAGAAAGCCGAGTTAACTATGGTGTGAATCAACTGGCTCTAGTTACTGATACATTATATTCTTTGCTGAGCAAAGGTTTAGGAAACAGAGTAGATCTGATATTACAAATGGTTGATGCTGACTTCACTTGGCCTGTAAAGAAAGTGCCTGAAAAATGCAGAAAAGATGGGTAAGAAATTTAAAAGTGTGCGAAAGCACTGTGTATATACTTTTTTAAATATATTCTGCTATGGGTGTTCTGAGACATGATCTGGACATAAAATTTGTTGATCTTCTCATAGCTCAGGGAATTAACTGTTTCAGACGAATTGGTGTGGTCGTTTGGCACGTTACTACTATTTGTAATATGCCGTACCAGAGTGTATCATGTAGAGTATATCAAGTTACATACATTTCTGAATGTTTAGTCACAATATTTCTCACTAATGGCAAAGATTATCATCATGATGAAACCTGCACGTCGAAGAAGGTTCTCAACCCTTGGTTGTAGGACTAATGCCTAAAGTCTCTATTTAGAAAAGAACCGTGCCCAACATAAGGACTGATAATGGGTAATGATGTTGATGATTTAATTAAATATATTAATTGTTCTAGCCAAGAGGAAAGTGTATCGTTCGGATTCATATTGAATCCCGAAAATGCGATCAACATTGTGGAGAAAGGACCTCCTGCGAATTTTCCTGAGGCAGAAGAATTTAGGTAAGCTTAATATTAAATTAGAAACTTGGACTTATTTGTGTGATACTTGTTTCTTGCTGGACTTAATACACTAAATTGAGCATATACTTGTAAATCTGAGATGTTTTATGCCTAACTGAAATTCCTTTTTAACCTTTTGACGAAAAATTGGGGCGTTATAACCTCGAAGCCTTCACATGTCTAAAGTATTTAATCCATTTTAGAAACTTAAATCGCAGTTAAGTGATGTGAGTAAACAAATTGTTGTAGATTGTTCTGGGGAGACAAGTCAGAACTTCGTCGGTTTCAAGACGGCTCTATCACGGAGACTTGTGTGTGGGACGCCGATACTCTCGCCGAGAGACGCAGCATTACTAAACAGATTATTAATTATCTTATGAAGATGAAGTATGGTAAGTTAAGTGTATATGAGTATGGTATGGTAAGTTAGTTAAGGTAACCTGATCCTACCTTATTGACATTGCTTTCACGATATAAACATAAAATAAAATGGGCTCTAATTTAGGCCCCTGTAGGAATCCATTCTTTACTGTTAAATATTTTGGATGTTTAAAGTGTTGTTGTGCAGTTGTGAGTAACACCGCTAATTTATTATACCACCGCGCTTCTCTCCCGTTGGGGTAGGCAGTAGTGGAGTTAGGTAAAATACGTCTTTCGTTAGCTATACTTGCATGTCTTCTAAAACACACCCGTGTTTTCTTAGTTTTGATCTAGCCTATTTTAAGTACGTCCTCAATGTGGTATGTATACCCTTCCCGACATTGCCATCCATCCTTTCCATAAGATCATAATTATCGTTAACCAACAACCAATTAACATAAACAGCAAGTATGGTAGGTCACCTTATCTGACATGACACCTTTAGATATCTGATTAAGGAAAGGAGGACGAGGTGGAACAAGAAGAAACAATCATTTTTGTAAGATTATTATTCCCCCGGGGTTAACTTTTCGTTTATTAATTAAAGTACTGTATTGCTAGGCATAATCCCGTCAGACGTACATCACGTCTGCGACCAGCTGGACAGTGTAACCGCTCGCAAACAGTATTGCGCGTTCAGTGAGGAGAGCTCCGTGGAGGCCCTGCGCGCCTTCGACGAGCTGCGTCGCGACTTGCGTGCGCTTACGCAGCTGCCGCTGGACGTCAGCGCCGTCTATGGTATTTAATGCAATTACAAATATTTTATATTTATGGTTATTACTACTAGGTATTTACTCTACTTACGCATCCAACATTTCTGTTTTTTCTTTACACGGAAAACATTATCTTCCAGGAGTATCTCCCGTGTTCAGCTATTGTGACCCGCTTCCGCCGCTCCCCCACGCGCCGATCCCGAAGCCGTGGCAACGCGGCAGCGCCTGCTTGATCAAAGACATCACTCGACAAGACGGAACTGTTGTTGTTCCCGAGTATACCCCCGTGTCTAAAGCTATTGTTGAGTTGGGTAAGTTCTTTGTTTAATACAATTGCAATGAACGCGCTCTACTTACCAATTGCGGCGCGGTTCCCGGATAAATATACATAGTTCACAAAGATTGTAGACCTCGATTTCATTCAGGCGAATAAACTGAACATTGATACGTACTTAATGTCTCCAGAGAAACGTTTATTATACTGACATCAATTACATTCAAGACAAATTTTACAAATTTTTCACGCTTATTGCCCATATTGTTTCGAAAAAATTCTAGGCCACAGCGGCAAATGGCCGGGCGACATCGAGGCGTTCCGTTGCCTCAAAGCTGCGTTCCATCTCCAAGTAGCTGACAGACTTACGAAACAGTACAGCCTACCAGCGCAGGCTTATCCCACACATGTCGACGTATTGAAAAACGGATTAGTATTCAGGTATGATATCATATATATCCTTCAACGAACTTGAGTCAAGTGACGTTGGCTCGAAGCAAGTTGAAGTGGCAGCAAAGCATATTATCTTAAAAATGGCTAATCATTATTTGGTAGACATAGACGATGCCCTATTTGATAAATTGAGAGCCTGGTGAGTTGATGACAATTAACTATATAATTTTGTGACTTTTCTTTTTATGCATTGTTAAGCAAACGAATTATTAGTCTTTAAGCGATATACAAATTTGGTTTGTCCATATTTATATTATTAATTTATTATTTGATTGTCATCCTGCAGACTTGAGATCGCGCATCCGAAAGAGATAACTCTACTCCGGAGAGAGATGGAAAAAGGAGTTGTAAAGTACAGGGAGAGCGAAGAGAGCATACAGCTGCAGTGCGATACCGTGCTGTTGCCGAGGTTAAGAGGAGCGTTGCATGGGTGAGAAACATTTTTTTCTTCGTGGATGAAGTATAATCTCAGCAGGATAAAACACGCCAGAATTTCACGCGGGTATAGGGCGAATATAATGTAAGGAGTAAAGACTAATGAATTGTGTTCTAGTTTACACGAAAAGTACCCGGCCTTCGGACCCACGACGTGCCTACTGAAACGCTGGCTAGCCTCACACCTCCTGTCTCCTCCCCACTTCCCGCCGGTCGTGGTCGAGTTGCTGTCGGCTGCCGTGTTCCTTCGCCCCGCGCCCCTGGAGCCGCCCGCGCAGCCCTTCGTGGGACTACTCCGAGTGTGGAAGCTGTTGGCTGACACGGACTGGGTCAGGGAAATGTTGCTCCTCGACTTCAACCAGGACATGACACGTGAGGCATATCAATTACAAATATTGTTTTTAAATTTAAGAAAGGCATTTGAGAAGATCGATCGTGATCACTGTTACTGGATATTGAGCCAGTAATAATTCAGACAATAAATTAAGTTACATTATGACCGATGTAATATGAATTCAATATCAGTCGGTACTGAAATACATTTATTTTCAAATGTTAAAAGTGCTAGCGAAGGAGTTCTCCAAGGGTCGACTCTAGAGCCAACGTTGTTTCAGTTTTGTATCTACATAAAAATACTACGCAGTCTAAAAGTATCTATCAATCCACACAGCCTCGATTATTGGGACATGGACCTTATCAGAAATTATTTATTATTCAAATTTCAGGTGAAGAAATAACAGAACTGGAGCGAAAATTCAACGAACGCGAAGAGAAGACCCCGTACATGTACATAGTGACTTCGTACGACGGCGACCTACCTAGCGTATGGAGCGCGACTGCACCGACGGAACAGGTCGTCTGCCGAGCACGAGTCTTAGCTCGAAGCGCGTTGGACTACATGGAGAAGGCGCTGATGAAAGATTTCAAAGACAACGTACTGGTAATATTTTTTTTTAGCTACACACCGTTTCCTTACATTGAAAAATATATATACGACACTAAAACGCGCTTGTGTACCGCAGGCCGCGTTCGTGCCCTCCTTGACAGGCTATGACGTCATCATTCACCTCCAGCCGCACCTCGTGCCGTATTCGTCGGAGCGCGTGGACAAGCGGCCTTCGCCCAAAGCGCTGCCAGACACGGTCGTCGAACAAGTGGTACCACCTGTCGAGTTCCATGTTGTTCACAAGTATTTAGAAGAATTGCGGGTAAGTTGTAACACAATACAAATAAACACGACGATCTCAGTGGCCCAGCGGAGGGTCTCATATCTTCATCCAAAGCTTGAAAACGTTTTTCTGTGTGATTTATATAATTTATTAAAAATATTGTAAAATGTAAAAACGTTCAAAAATCTTTTTACATGTTGCAAGAGTTCTTTTAGAGCAAAGACAAGATGTAATACATAACAAATAATATGAGTTTTTTAAAATTGTTATGAAAGAATATTTGATTTTGCTTTTGCATTTAACTACGCATTACTTTTATAAGAAATATTATGTTACAAATATTATTTTGACATTGATTTGATTATGACATTTTTTTTTAAATTGTTATCATAAAGGAAATGAAACTATTTTTCCGGATTTAAATCGCGTATATTTGTTTTTTCAAACAAACCGACGTTTCGCGCCCTTTACAGGTCCCATGGTCACGGTTGACGGTGTAAAACCTAAGAACTCGATATTGTTATCATAAGTTTTTATAAATTGTACTTTAATTATTTCTATTTTATTAATATATTATTATTTTGATTCTGATTTGATTAATTATCATTGATTTTAATGTTATTTTTATAGATTTAGAACTTCTGTAATTTAATTTAAGTTTAAGGCTGTACTTATATTTATTTTAAACACTTGTGCATTACCCATGTAATGCAATAAATAAATGAATAAATGAATAAACGAACGAATAAGCGAATAAATAAATAAATATTATTATTATTGTTAAAATTACAGAGCGCGTACAGCGACTTCGCCTTGTTTTTCCACGACTGCTTTGGCGGAGAGGTGATCGCTGTGCTCTGGAAGCCGGATATTGACGACTCCAGAGAGTTTCAGGTACGTTTAATTTGGTGGTGGGTGTCTAAACGAAAAAGACTTAAAAAAAGTTTGGTTCTTATATAAGCACAGTAAGTACGATAATAATTTTAAGTTGCAAACGTTGCTCAGTTCAATGCTTGCCTAATAAGTATCAAGTCCCGCCATCTATGTTTCCTAAACAAATTAATTCATCAATGTCAATGATAATGTTATAAATAAAAATAAAATTCGTGTTTTACGTATAAACTTGTTATTATTATTTCCTTAATAGCGGCCATTATACAGTGTTTTTTTTTATGGTAACAGTATGGGGAAATCCAAAACCATAGAGATACAAAAAAAGTGTCATAAGAACATTGACTTACAAATAAATGGACGACGGGTCTAATACAAAAACCACGAAAAAAATGTCCCAAGTCAACCTATTTAAACGTAGTGACGTGTAAAGGAATATGAAAAAGCTAAAACGTTGAATTTAAATTGTAATGTCATCGCAGTACTGTCTAATTTTGCTTGCTTCGCTGTCAGTCGAACAAACGAAGACTAAAGCGTGTATGACGCTCTGTATACGATTTTAACGCCCTATAAGTTCGGACACCTTTTAGCGCGGACCCGACGTCCATATAATTGTAAGTCAATGCATAAGAACCATTAAGTGTTTTTTTGTGAAAACAATTTTGGCATGGTAAATTTTTTGATCGATCGTGAGTTGCCTGAATCGCAATTTGCATTAAATAAATTTTGATCAATTTTATTAATTTTTATGGACAACTCACGCTTGACCAAACAACTATGCCCAAATTGTTTTCACAAAAAAAAATTTTGTGGTTCTTAAGACAGTTTCTTTATACCTTCTATGGTTTCGGATTTCCCATACTGTCCCATTGAAAAAAAAACACTATATAGGCTTGGGCCAGTATCAGTTTCCAAGTATGTTACAATTACATAATAAACTTACTTATCTGAAAACCTACTCTCGCTATCGCTTTTAACACAATCTGACAAAATTTTTTTTTATATATAGTCTATGAGCTTAAACGTTTTGATAAACACGTTTATTTAAAAAGTACCACATATTAACATTTAAAATTTATAAGCAATTTATTCCATCTCTAGTTACAATGGATTGTATACTATGTAGGTCACTGTATACTATAGTTATTTATATAATAAAGTGACAATATTATGAATATTCATAATCTTGCTACTTATTGTGTTATATTAATCCACACTATAATATTTAAGTTATAAACAACTATATTTGTTAGCAATCGTTAGTTTTACCAATCATTTATTGTTTATTTTGTTACAGTCTGTTTTATTGTTACTAAATTTCTTTTGTCATTGATAGCCATACAAACTATTGGTATAAAATTTACTTTGTTAGAAATTATTTTAATCATATTTTATTATTTGTTTTGTTGCATATTTTTTTTTATTTAGCAATAGTTCATTATTAATTTTGTAACAATATCTTTGTTACCAGCTAACAAACGCCAACGCTCTTCAACCAATCAAAACCAAAGGCGAAATTGCGTACAAAATCAACAAGCCAGCTCTGGTCGAGGACTTCCGAATACTAGGCGCCGGTCTCGTAAGAGACATCACTGTTACGTAGTATTAGTTACTTGTAACTGTTACTATAAGTAATTGTTGTAATAAAATGACTTATCTATGTTGTGGTTTTTATTAAATTCCACGATATTTTAGAGTTATATATTGTTTTGTTAAATATCTCTACTACTTTGTTATAATTATTAATAGTTTATAGTCCGGTCAGGTTGAGGGATTTATTATTTGTGTTCGATATTTGTATTAATTATTGTATTATTTTTATTATTTCACATAAGTTTACTTTGTTGTCGAGGGTTTCTTTTAAATACAAATTATGAGGCTATGTGGTTTAGTTTCACACATTTTTGCATGTGTTGTATTGCTTGAGGTACTCATATTAATTAAATGAGCATCCCTGCTATCTTACTAATTGATTACAGTTAAAATTAATTTAGTAGCTATACGATTTATTTAATAAAATTAAAAGAGATGTTACTATCAGTGGCGGATTTGCCCTAAGGCCATCCTAGGGCCTAGGGCGGCCAATCGTGACAAAAAAGTCATTGATGGTAACAAGAAAGAACTCAAAGTACATAAATATTTTAAAGTCTCACGCACATTATGGCGGGCCGCACTGCACCGCATCGTATAACAATATTCTTCATAGATCACTTTCGCACATTTTATTTATAAAATATAGATATGTCTAACAGTAGGTATATGAGAAAGGGGTGGCTGGTACTGACCACCTGGGGCCTAGGACGGCCTGCGATCGTTTCACTTGTCAACGCAGCTCCGTTCCGTATATTTAACAGTGGCGACGAACTACCCGCAACAAAAAAAAAATATTGTGCAAAATGGCGAATATTAGTGCTCAGTTCGGGATTTTAAATAGTTTCGATCACAATACACACACATGGAAAACGTATAAAGGTCGTATTGGGCAATATTTCGTAGCAAATAATTTTAATGAATCGACGGATCCTGAGGGCAAGAGAAGAAAGGCGATCCTGCTAAGCGCACTCACAGAGGGTACCTACAAGCTAGCAACGGACCTGACTTTACCCAAGGAAATCGACGACGTGCCCTACGAAGATTTATTAAATCTTTTAGACACTCACTTCACACCAAAGAGTGTCGGGTTTGGTGAGCGTCACAACTTTTACGCGGCCGCTCAACAAGTGGGTGAAACCCATTCTCAGTGGGCAGCGAGATTACGAGGTCTGACTGCAAAGTGTGGCTTCCTCAATGTCGAAGAGGCGCTGCGCGACAAGTTCATAATGGGCATGCTACCGGGACGAGAAAAAGAAGAGCTGTACGCAAAGGATTTAGCCGGTCTCACGCTAGCCAAGGTCGTGGAGACCGCGGAGAACCATGTCAAGGCACGGAGCGCCGCGGCCGCAAGCTCCGCCGCCGGCGGCGCCGGCCTAGCGAGCGCGTCCCATGATCAGTTATTCAAGATCTCAAACAACGGGAATCGTGTAAGTGTAGGCAAAGTAAAGTGTAGTGTTTGTGGGTTTACGAATCATAAGTCCTCGGAGTGTAAATTTGCAAATTACGTTTGCAAAAAGTGTCACGTGAAAGGCCATTTGCGTAAAATGTGTTCTAAAGTGAATTACGTAAAGGTGGATTGCGGTGGCCAGGGTGAGGATGACGAAAGCGATGACGGTGAGCTTTATTACATTCGTTCATTTAGGGGTGCACCCATGGTAGAAACAGTTCTAATTAAAAATAGACCGTTTCAATTTGAAATAGACAGTGGGTCAACAGTAACTGTAGTGTCGGAGGTCTTGTATAAAACTCATTTTAAAGATGTGCCGTTATCCAATACTATGAAACAGCTGATGACGTACAATGGAAAGAAAATTGAATGTGTAGGTATATTTCGTTTGCCGATAAGTTATGCGGGACAAACTCACGTTATTGTCTTTTATGTAATACGTGACGGAGGCCCGCCTCTTCTGGGTAGGGATTTTATATCAGCGTTTAATTTGCAATTGGTACCGGTGAATTTTTGTGTGGATTCTGTACCACCTGTTGAATTGTTGCAACAACAATATTCAGAGCTGTTTTCGGACAAATTAGGCACTTTTAACAAGTACAAAATTAAGTTGTTGTTGAAAATGCTAAACCGGTTTTCTGCAAGGCACGTCCCGTCGCATTCGCTTTGCGCGATAAGGTCAATCACGAAATTGACAGGTTGGTCCGGTTAGGTATTATTGAGCCTGTCGAGCACTCAGAATACGCATCTCCGATAGTTCCAGTTCTTAAAAAGAATGGGTCAGTCAGATTGTGTGCCGATTACTCTAGAACTATAAACAAACAGCTGCAGGTGGAAAAATATCCACTTCCCACAACTAGTGAACTGTTTTCTAAAATACATGGGGGTCAACACTTTAGTAAATTAGATTTATCTATGGCATATAACCAGTTTGTTTTAGATAACGAGTCAAAAAATCTTACTTGCATAAATACAAACCGTGGGTTATATACTTTCTCTCGATTAGTATTTGGGTTAGCCAGCGCACCCTCCATTTTTCAACGCGCAATCGAAGGGGTGCTTTCAGGTCTAGATGGCGTATTATGTCTATTAGATGACATTTTGGTCACTGGTAAGGACTGGAAGGAGCATCTTGAAAGGCTGAATGCTGTGCTGAAGCGGCTGCAGGACGCAGGCCTTACATTACAAAAAGAAAAATGTAGATTTTTTCAGGATAAAGTTCATTATCTTGGCTATATCATTACGAAAGACGGGTTGAAGAAAGCACCGGAAAAAATTAAGGCCATGGTTGAAGCACCAGTTCCGAAAAATGTTAGTGAGTTGCAGTCATTCCTAGGGCTCATAAACTATTATAGGAATTTTGTACGAAATGCATCCGCAATCCTCAGTCCTTTATATGAATTATTGAAAAAGGGTTGTAAATGGGACTGGAATGAAGTTCATGATACGGCATTTCGAGAAATTAAAAAAGTTATGACATCGGAACAGGTTCTTACACATTTCGATTCAAGTGCGACGATCATTTTAACCGTCGACGCTTCTCCTAAGGGGTTGGGAGCTATTCTTTCTCAAATAGGTAAAGACGATGTAGAACGACCCTTATCTTTCATGTCGCGTACGTTAAATGCGGCGGAAAGGCGATATGCTCAAATACAGAAAGAGGCAACTGCAATAATTTATGGCGTGCGACGATTCCATCAATATTTGTATGGCAGAAGCGAACCTTTCATATTACGAACGGACCACAAGCCACTTCTGTCCATTTTCGGGCCACATAAGGGCATTCCAGAGATGTCTGCAAATAGATTACAACGGTACGCTTTGTTTCTGAGTAGCTATAACTACAAAATAGAATACGTTCGCAGCGCTGATAACAGTGCGGACTACCTGTCGCGCGCGAGCCTGCCGAGAGAAGTGCACGAGTGCGCGTGCACCGAACAATGCAAGTGCTGCGATTGCGAGGTAGCATATGACCGGGCGACCTATGTCTGTTTCGTAGTAGACGGCAGCATGCCCGTCACTTTACACAGATTACGCGAAGAAACAAAATCGGACATAGTCTTACGTCTAGTCATTAACTGCATTATGAAAGGCTGGCCGCCTAAAGTTGATGATATTCGGTTAAAACCGTATCATTTGTGTAGATCACAACTGTCTTATGAGAATGGATGCGTAATGAGAGGTCATAAGGTCGTCATCCCCGCGAGTTTACACCAGACAATGTTAAAAGAATTACATTCGTCGCATTTAGGTATAGTTAAAACAAAGGGCGAGGCTCGTTCTAGATTTTGGTTTCCAGGAATTGACCAAGCGGTGGAAACCATGATAGGTACGTGTGATGTGTGCATTCAGTTGCGCCCCTCGCCGCCCCGCGCCCCGCTGACTCCGTGGGAGTACCCAGCTCGATCATTTGATAGAATTCACATAGATTTCCTTGGTCCAATTAAAGGTTGTGTATACTTAGTAGCAGTAGACGCACATACTAAGTGGGTAGAGGTATACAATATGAAAACGTCCACGTCATCAGCGGCAGTGATTTTAAAATTATGTGAATTTATGTCTAGATTCGGTGTTCCTAAAACGATTGTTAGTGATAACGGCACAGCTTTTTGTTCGCGGGAATTTGAGTTGTTTTGTTCAACAAACGGGATTTCGCATATGACGTCACCGGTCTACCACCCGTCGAGCAACGGCCAGGCCGAAAGTTTTGTAAAAATTGTGAAAAGGGGAATAAAGTCGTGTCTTTTGTTGGATCTCAACGCGGGGGATACGTGGACAAAATTACTGAAATACCTAATGGATTACCGTAACTCTGTTAACACTACCACGGGGCTGTCTCCGGCTCAACTGGTATTCGGTCACAAGTTAAGATCTAGATTAGATTTGATTGATCCAAACTCATCGGCACCCTCGCCACCGCCGTCGCCTGATATAATAAATAACCAACAGTGTACACGAAATAAGGAAGGGAAAACCAGAGTTAAAAAATTAAAGAAAAACGACATTGTACTGTACAAAAAATTTATTAATAAAACAAAGTATACATGGTGTAAAGGAATCGTACAGAAAAAAATAGGAAATGTTCTATATTTAGTGAAAGATATCGATAGTTCGGAAATGTATAAAAGACACATAAATCAATTAATGTTGTACAAAGGGACTAGTAACAATTATTGGGACTCGGTACATAGTTCAAATGTAAACTTACCTGTTGCGTCACCGCCGCCGCCGCTGCCGCCGCCACAGTCGCCTCCGCCGCCGCCGCCGCCGTCTTCGCCGCTGTCGTCTCTGACACCGCTGTCCTCGTCGGAACCATTATCGCTGTCTCCCGAATCACCGGAACCCCAGGTTGAACTCCCATCACCGAATATTGCTTCACAGTCAGCCAGTGGAAGGAGAGCCGAACTGTATGTGCCGAGCGATTCTCCATGGTCGGGAGAGGACGAATATGCGAGCGGAACTCTACAGAGGGACGATGAGATGCTAGCTGATTCCGTCTGCGCTACTGCGAGACAATCGAATTCCGACGATGAGTTCTACGAAGCGGAAGCCGAAGTGGATACCCGGGACAAGCCACAGGGTCCCGGAGTTGTACCAAAAAGATTGTTACGCCCACGTCCCATTGTGTCTTATAAAAAGTACTTTTAATATTTGTATTAATTTAGGTTATTATAATAGAGGGAGGAATGTTATGTATGTAGGTATGTGTGGCTGCGCCCACCACCAGTTCATATTATAATAAATCAGTGCAAAGCTAACCAGCGATCGTTTCACTTGTCAACGCAGCTCCGTTCCGTATATTTAACACTAAGTAGTTGTTGTCGATAGTTTTATTGGTAGATTGTGAAAGAAGATAAAATTTTGCCAAATATGATGTTCTAATTCATTGACTTACAATTATATGGACGTCGGGTCCGCGCTAAAAAGTGTCCGAACTTATAGGGCGTTAAAATCGTATACAGAGCGTCATTCACGCTTTAGTCTTCGTTTGCTCGACTGACAGCGAAGCAAGCAAAATTAGACAGTACTGCGATGACATTACAATTTAAATTCAACGTTTTAGCTTTTTCATATTCCTTTACATGTCACTACGTTTAAATAGGTTGACTTGAGACATTTTTTTCGTGGTTTTTGTATTAGACCCGTCGTCCATTTATTTGTAAGTCAATGTTCTAATTATTATAAATAGCGTTATTGCCTTCTCTATTCTTATTTTGACAGTTGATCTACTAATATCAAGATCAATTTTTATTAATATACCTACATTTTAACAAGAGTAGCTGGATTCGATTATCTATATTGAATTAAAATGAAAAACTTTAAAATGTATCTCCCTTTGTATTTTTCATAAACATAGTTCTTAATAGAGTGTATGTATGTATCAACTTACAAAAAATGACAATTCGAATGAACTTGTGCTCAGTAATTGGACGAATAATGGATCGAGGATGATTGATGAAGTTTACCAGTTACCAAAAATCTCTTGTACGATAAACATTTTAAAGAACATAAATATTTATAAAACTGGATTTATTACCATAAGTTTCTCACCTCTTTTGAATTCTGAACGTCAAACTACTAAGCAAGATTATGGAGGCGCGCTGGCTGCGGAGACTACTACTCTCCCGACAACATTATAATCAACAGAACTCCACCAGCACCAGCAGCACCCTCACACTACTATATCATTATAGTCTGTCTTTTTTGAAGATAAGAGTAAAATTACAAATGCAGGGTTTCCAGTTTTCATAAAATTTTAAATAGTTATGTAGTTGTTGTCGATAGTTTTATCGATAGATTGTAAAAGAAGGTATATATATATTTTTGCCGAAAATGGCTGAATTGTGAATGTACCGATATTCTAATGATTAACAATTGCGTTATTGCCTTCTTTATTCTTATTGCGACAGTTAGCCTACTAGTATCGAGGTCAATTTATAATTAACATGCATTTTAATAAAAATAAGCTGATTTGATTGTCTATAATGAACTAAAATGAAATACTTTAAAATGTGTCTCCTCTTTGTTTTTTCATAAACATAATCCTAAATGCAGTGTATGTACATATGTATGAACTTACAAAAATGATAATTCAAATGAACTTATGCTCTGTAATTGGATGAATAACGGGTCGATGATGATTCAGATGAAACAAGTTCGACTATTTAATACATAAGCGTGTCCAGTACTCAGTCGATAGTCGATAGAATATTTATCGACTGCAATCACTAGCTGCTCGCAAGCGGGAAACACTTTTGCGCATTGAACTGTCATTTTACTCCGTCTTCAAAAGAGACGGACTATAGCGTTTCTTTAAAATGTCTGAGACTTTTCCTACAAGTACAACGATAAGATTTTGTTGTCTTCACATTTTCATGCAGCCTTGCCAGAATAACTATCGGTTGCTGGAACATCTCTTTAGACCTATATAAATTAGGTACTAAACAAGGTAATATTGAAAAGGAAATGAAAACTATATGTTCTTGCATAATTACAATTTATTGATTGCTAAAACGTCCTTCAAAGTCGTGTTCAAACGCGTGTTCAACCACAAAACTGAACGAGCTCACAACGAACGGAGTGCCGTCGGTCTAACCGGCGCGGACGAAGAAGGGCAGCGTGTCCAGCGGCGCGGGGTAGTTCCGCAGCCAGTCGCCGCCGCGCAGGCGCCGGCCGGGGTCGCCCTGCGCCAGCCACGTGCCCTCGGGCAGGTACACGTCGCGCTCCAGCGAGCCGTGCTCCAGCACCGGCGCCACGAGGACGCTCTCGCCCAGGAGGTACTCTGCGCCAGCAGGGGAACTCATTGCTGTTGCCACATTTCTTACGAGATTCGTCTAAACTTCCTCATTATTCAAAATTAAAGGCAAAAGTAAAAACCAAATAGTTACTTTTATTAACACGGAAAATTCCTTCGATCCCGCTGGATTCGAACCGGCGCCTTCAGCATACCGTGTCTGATGCTCTCGCTACTCGTGATATTCAACAAACTTAATTTAGACTCTAGGATACATACAATTTGGCTAAATTTGCATTGCCCCGGAACAGAGGGGAAAGTGAATTATTGTAATAAAATTGTACTAAAAATAAAAAGATATGTTAATTACACAAAAATAAAGAGAGCTCTGCCAGCCATGCCAAGGCAGTGAGAACAAAGACCATGAGCAGGCAACAGCGTGTAAGAGAGAAAGAGGGAGATAAATTAACAGATAAATGAAATAAGTAACTATAATGGTAACTGCAGAAATTCTCCAGTGAAAGTTCTATAACACAGCTGACGGCCACGGATAGCCACACAAAAGTAGCCACACCCGCCCTTTTTCATTTTTATAATTAACCAATCGCAGAGTGCGACTCATCGCCACGCACTGGCTTTATCTAGTTTCTTTTTACAATAATCTATGCACCGCTACAGACGCGTCTGCATTACAACGGACGAGCATCTTCCAACTGATCGGCAATCACAGACCGTGGAAGGCCGTCTTAAGGGATACCTATCCAACATTAATTCGAAAAAGATGAACGTGAATATCATCATCATTTAGGCCTCTTCCAAAGATCGCCATAATGACCGGTTTTGCGCTGCAGTGGATTCCCGCAATCTTCACCTAGGTCGACCAGAGGGTAGACCACCCACAAGATGGACCACCATCTTGTGGGTGGTCTACCCTCGCTGCGTCTTCCGATACGCGGTCGCTACTCGAGAAATCTTTGGCCCCATCGGCTACCTGTTCTGCTAGCAATGTGGCAAATCCTTTAGGCAACGTCGGTTATACGGGTAACTGGGATATACTTGAAGAAAAACCAACGACGGACGAGGTTTCGAGACGGCTCCCGCACACGGTCAAGATATATCATCTCGATGTGAAATCTTACCATCCCAAATATCCAACGCTGTAGTATCGTTAGGCGCGATCCACCAAATGGGCGCGTTGACGGGGCTGCCGTCAGCGACGGCTCGTCTACATGCTGCGATTATCTGTGGCGCGTACTTCGCGTGCAAATCTACATACTTCTTGCTTATTGCTATCGTCTGCGAAGGAACAAGAAACAGTTATTTCGATTGCAATGGTTGCAAATTTGGCTTGGTCACGTTTAATATCCACATAGCTGTTGCATAATGCTTTGAATCAATCATGACTATTGGTCTAGCTTTAGTGTGTTTTAACTACGATGAGCCAATCTACACTATACGTATGAACACTAACCCATTTACCTCATTGTCAAAGTCCCAAGGCACATACGAGAACTGCAAGCTAGGCATAAAAGTGTTAGCCTGCAACCATCGAATAAACAGCTCCTTGCTGGGAGGTTCATTGTACCCATTCCCACCAATCATGTCTGGCAGGACCAACGGGTACCCATTCATGTTCATCTGCAACAGCGTCGTGACCAGTGTTGGCAGACCATTCTCAAAAGTCCAGTAGGTGTCCTTGTCAATCATTCGGACGAAGATCGGGAGGTCTTGAGTCCTGGAAGTTTTGATTTCTTTAAATAGTTGAACAATACCTACTGTAGTCGAAAACCTCGCATACCGTTTTCGAAAAACTATTGTTGATTTCCTCCGGTATTAAGTGGTTCTGTTTTCTCTTTCATCTGTTAATTATTCAATATTAGTAAAATTACTATTTCAGTTGATTCATAATAATGAGGTCACTCGCCTGTATCCTGCTCGAACTTCTACCATTGGGCCGAACTGCGCGACCAATCTGACATAATCCGCAGTTATAACGCCTGGCTGATCTCTGATATCTCCTTGTAGAACTGGGATCTGCAAATTGCAATTGTTTCAATCAGTAACAAATGGTTGCATCACTCGTTGATATCTTTCTTGCATATGCAAGGAGGTGGACGAGTCTTTTATGGAGAGGGTCTTAGGCCATTGTCCGCCATTCTGATCTATTGAGTTTTGGGAACTACACTTCTTTGAGGAGTAAGTAAACGCAAGCGTCTTTAGTTTCTTCCGTTTAATAGCGATGCTCTTGTCGTTCTTATCTAATATTCTTAAAAACGAGGTATATTTTCTTTCAAAATAAAGTAAAAACATACCTGAGGGGACCAGCTTGTTTCACCACCATCGAACTTGTAGCTGTCAATGCCGTAAACGGTCTGCAACCTCTGCAGGCGCTCCATATACCACGCCCTGGCATCCGGTTTAGTGAAGTCGATGTATGCCGTCGTTGTCTCGTTGTCATTCCACCAGCTCGTCTCTACTGATCCGTACTCCGAAGAAACCAGATACCTTGATTGTGAGGATAGTGTAAAGTTAACGTTTTCTCGCTTGTCTATCACATAAATAACCTCGTCTTTTCTTTGCCTTAATTCCCTGTCACCATGCTGAGGGACTAAACGATTTTATCGCTAGTGATAATCAATTAGGGAATAACCACGAAAACCTTTACATTTTTAATCTGGATATTGTACCATCAGATCAGATAGAATAGAAGAGAATAGAATCATTTATTTTATATTATCAATGTCACAATATTACAATTAAAAATACAATGTCAAGGGATAATATGATCGTCACTAACGCAAACTGCTTGTCTAAATACAATGAAGTCGAGTAAAACAAAATTACAATTGTTTCAAAAGAAACTCATCGACACTGTAGAATTCATTATCCAATAAAAGAACTGTTAGTCAGGTATTAAACGTTTCGTCATTTGTAACACTTTTCAGGTGGATGTTCGTAGAAGCTTCCCTTTCCCACGTTTCGCAACGCTTGACCTCAACGCTTGACGCGCGTAAACTATTATATCATAGATGTAAGGTGAGTACGTCGTCATTACATGGTATTTTTTTAAAAGTATAAAAAAGACTAACCATTGCACGTTTTTGAAGAATAGAAACCCTATTCGACTCGGTTGAGTTACCCCGCGGTGCAATGCCGTACTACATCAACGAATGAAAATATGCAAAGCACGTCTGCCTCAATACCACATTGGACACAAGAGGTCGCAGTTTCCTTAGTGCGTATATCTGTATATGGATACTTGGGCCCTGATTTGAATTCAAATCGGAGGGTAGCCCATCCGCAATATTATAGGCCTCGACTCGGAAAAGACGCAGTTTCCGATCTGGAGAGGCTATCAAAATCAAAGCCCTGATCTAGAGATATATCACTCCATCCAAGATCCAATTTCAAAAAGGTCATTTCTTATATGTGCAAGTCGAATTGGATATCGAAACCTATATTCCCAATTAGCGATCTATTGGTAGTCGAAATCGGGTCAATAATTTCATACTATAAATAATTTCTCAACTTTGTTTCGTTAACTCTGGAATAATGTGCTAAACACTTACCCTTTGTTCTTAGCTTCCGTATACCAAGGCTCACAACCCTTATTGATAAACGGATGAGCCCAAACAGTCACTCTGTATCCCTTCGATTTCAGCATTCTCACAGTCACGGCCATGTTTGGAAATCTTTCTTGATCAATAGTCAAAGACCCGTAGCAAATCTCCCAGAGGTCATCAATTTCCAATTGACTGTTCGGGAAGCCATACCTGGAGATTTCGTCAGCGAATCTCAAGACGACGTCGTGATTTACGTCTCTCTTGTATCTGGCCCAGGTAGACCAGACTGGATAAGTAATCATCCTCTCATCAGGGTATCCCAAAGGCTTTTCGAGGTATTTATCGATGGCGTACTCATGGGCCTTTCTTGCGTCCTCGAAAATGCCGACTGCGTAAATCAGGTCGTTGCGATCTCGTTTGCTGGAGTAGGGTGGCTTTATTTGGGCGATAAAGCATGCTGCGTTCTTTTCGAGGTC